GAACGAATCCGTGAATCCAATATGATCCCAAGGTGGCCCATACGAACCCCGACACGACCCCAAGAAAAGCCCTTGTGGCGCTAAGACGGAGCCAGAAGCACCGCGTGACGCCGAATCGACCCCGAGATCACCCAACGATTCAAATATGACACCCATGTCCCCAATATGACCCAGTGCGAATCCAATCTGGAAACAATACAACAATACCATACTCACGTCGAGTATTCCTTCCAGGGGGAGGTAAGTCCTCATCGGCTCAGGGCCGCGCTACGTCGAGGCCAGTTGGCCCAAAGACGGACGAGTTCTAGGTGCCATATGCAAACGTTCTAGGTGCCTCTTAGGGCGGTTTAGGTTTCTTGGTGCCCCCTTGGACCGCCCCCCCGGGGCCTTCCGCGGCCCGGAGGGGGGGGGGTCAAATTGCAGATTTGGGGTCCCTGGCGAGGGGTTATAAGAGGGGGGCAATCTCACACGCCTAGATACCCACAAGGGGTCGGCGGATGCAGGCGCGAGGGGCCAAAAAGTGACGACGGCTATAGGATTTGGATGACCCGCTTGGGTTACCTCGCAAGCCATTCACAAACGAGGCTCCCGCTTGAGGTTTCTTCAAGATTCAGGCGAGAGGGGCCAAAAAGTGACGACTGTTCAAGCGCGAGGAGCCTAAAAGTGACGACAGTTACAGGATTTGGATGACCCGTTCGGATTGCCGATGTGAAGAGCGGGCCCCATACGGAGGGGGCTCCCGCTTGAGAATTCCTTGAAATTCACTCACAAACGAGGCTCCCGCCTGAGGCTTCTTTCAATTCAGGCGTGAGGTGCTCAGAACTGACGAAGGATACAGGATTTGGATGACCCGCTCGGATTACCAACATGAAGTGCCGGGCCGGGCTCCTGCCTGAGACTTGAGGTTCCCGCCTAAGGCTTTTTTAAGATTCAGGCGTGACGGGTCCAAAAGCGAGAACAGCTACAGGATTTGGATGGATCGGTCGGATTACCAACATGAGGTGCGGGCCCCATAGGGAGGGGGTTCAGCCTGAGACGTCCTCGCAATTCACTCACAAACGAGGCTCCCGCCTGAGGCTTATTCAAGATTCAGGCGTGAGGGGCTCAAAAGTAAGTGCAGTTACAGGATTTTGATGACCTGTTCGTATTACCAACATGAAGTGCGGGCCCCATAGGGAGGGGTCTCCCGCTTGAGATTTCTTTGTGATTCACTTGCAGACAAGGCCCCTCTTGGTCGAATATCAGGATGGGATGGTGATAGTGATGACTATGGTGGTGTGTGCTGCTGATGGCCGACGATCATGATGGGATCCTGACATGATGACGGCTGAGTGATGAATGGATGTTATTGAGTGACATAGTGGGTGGAGGACGATGAGGGTTGATGATCCTCATGGGATTGTGGTGGTGATGATGATGGTGAGTTGGATGATGGTTGCTGGTGATGATGTTATCCTTGGTTTTGGTGATGATTATGACGACGATGACAATGACAGGAAGAGTTGGTCTGAAGAGGGCAGGGTGTGGGTGAGGATTGCGCGAGGTGTCCAGAGAAAACAAAAATCCAACTCAGGATGTGGGGGGCAATCACCGGACAGCTCGCCCATTGGCCTCCCGCCAGCCCCACTCCAAGGGGCGAGCATAGATACGGGCGCACGACCGCGCTGGACGCAACGCATTCGGCTGGGCCAGGCAAGTGAAGACCCAACACTGCATCGCGTGACGCGTGGATGCCCGCACCGACCGCGACTCTTTTCAGGCCCTGCCCACAACTCGCCCCTCCGCCCTTCCTTTCATCCATCCCCCCATTGTCGTCCAGCTCCTCCGACTCCTCTTTCCGCCGCCCCCTCCCTCTCCTACTCCCTCCTCGTCTTCCGCCTCCTCCCTCGTCCTGCACCTCACCCTCCTCGTCCTGCGCCTCCCCCTGGTCCGAGCAGGTAAGCATGGTGCCCAAGACGTGGTAGTAAGCACGCTGCGTTCCCTGATGAAAAAGCGTGTTTGAGCGCGCGTGCGGCTGCGGGCAGGCAAAGCCGCATGCAAAGCCAATCGATCCTCAACCCAATGTCGATTGTGATCCGTATTCCAAAGCTGTGGCTGCATGGTGCGCCCCGAACTCCAGACCAACGAATTGAGCCTCAACCCGATGTCGAACGTGATCCATAGTCCAACGCTGTGGTTGCACGATGCGCCCCGCACCCCAAACCAACGAATCCGCCGATCACTCCTGACCGCCAGTGCGTGGCACATGGTGCTGCTTGGTTGCGTCCAGAGCGTATCTTCACCGCCCTGGCTTAAAACTGCCAGCGACATATCCCCACCCCCTGGCCTGAAACTGCCAGCGAACTCTCCTCGCACCCCTAGCCTAAAACTGCCAGCGAAATATCCTCACCCCCTTGCCCAAAACTGCCAGCGAGATATCCTCACCCCCCTGGCTTCAAACTGCCAGCGAAACATCCTCACACCCTTCAGCGAAAGATCCGCACCCCCGGCCTAAAACTGCCAGCGAGATATCCTTAACCCCCTGACTTACAACTGCCAGCGACACATCCTCACCCCCTCGCTTAAAACTGCCAGCAGCGAAATATCCTCACACCCCTCAGCGAAATATCCTCACTCCCTGTCCTTGAGGCACCAGCGAAATATCCTTAACCCTCTGACTTGCAACTGCCAGCGATACATCCTCACACCCCTCAGCGAAGTATCCTCACCCCTTGACCTAAAACTGCTAGCGAGATATCCTCACTCCCCTGACGTATACTTGCCAGCGAAATATCTCCACCCCTCGCTTAAAATTGCCAGCCGCGACGCATCTTCACACCCTTCAGCAAAATATCCTCACCCCGTGGCCTAAAACTGCCAGCGAGTTATCCTCACCCCCCTGACTTAAAACGCCAGCGAAATATCCTCACGCCCCTGTCCTAAAACTGCCAGCGAAATATCCTCACCCCCTGGCCTGAAACTGCTGGCGCACTATCCTCGCACCCCTCGCTTAAAAACTGCCAGCGAAATATCCTCACCCCCTTGCACAAAACTGCCAGCGAGATGTCCTCACCCCCCTGGCCTAAAACTGCCAGCGAAATATCCGCACTCCCGGAAATAAAACTGGCATCTAACGATGTTAGTGGTTCAGTTCAGTTGTGTCAGTTCTGTTTATTTCCCGAAAATCGAACGACGGGCTGCGACCGTAAAAAATACCCTGGCGAAGGACAACAATATGCAGTTGCGAGTGCCGCGTTGTGGGTACCGGTCTCGGTGGGGCTCCCTATGGGGCCACGAAATGTTATCATGGATGGCGTTGACGCATGCGGCCTGTGCCACTGGAGCCTTCGGTGGAGCTCCCTATGGGGCCACGAAACGCTGTCCTGGGTGGCGTTGACGCATGCGGCCTGTGCCACTGGAGCCTTCGGTGGAGCTCCCTATGGGGCCACGAAGCGCTGTCCTGGGTGGCGTTGACGCGTGCGGCCTGTGCCATTCGAGCCTTCGGTGGAGCTCCCTGTGGGGCCACGAATCGCTGTCCTGGGTGGCGTTGACGCATGCGGCCTGTGCCGCTGGAGCCTTCGGTGGAGCTCCCTATGGGGCCACGAAGCGCTGTCCTGGGTGGCGTTGACGCATGCGGCCTGTGCCACTGGATCCTTGGAGCCCCCTATGGGCACGAAGCGCTGTCCGCATGCGGCCTGTGCCACTGGAGCCTTCGGTGGAGCTCCCTATGGGGCCGCGAAGCGCTGTCCTGGGTGGCGTTGACGCATGCGGCCTGTGCCGCTGGAGCCTTCGGTGGAGCTCCCTATGGGGCCACGAAGCGCTGTCCTGGGTGGCGTTGACGCATGCGGCCTGTGCCACTGGAGCCTTCGATGGATCTCCCTATGGGGCCACGAAGCGCTGACGTGGGTGGCGTTAACGCATGCGGCCTGTGCCACTGGAGCCTTCGGTGGAGCTTCCTATGGGGCCACGAAGCGTTGTCCTGGGTGGCGTTGACGCATGCGGCCTGTGCCACTGGAGCCTTCGGTGGAGCTCCCTATGGGGCCACGAAGCGCTGTCTTGGGTGGCGTTGACGCATGTGGCCTGTGCCACTGGAGCCTTCGGTGGAGCTCCTTATGGGGCCGCGAGTCGTTGTCCTGGGTGGCGTTGACGCATGCGGCCTGTGCCACTGCTGCCTTCGGTGGAGCTCCCTATGGGGCCACGAAGCGCTGTCCTGGGTGGCGTTGACGCATGCGGCCTGTGCCACTGGAGCCTTCGGTGGAGCTCCCTATGGGGCCACGAAGCGTTGTTCTGGGTGGCGTTGACGCATGCGGCCTGTGCCGCTGGAGCCTTCGGTGGAGCTCCCTATGGGGCCACGAAGCGCTGTCCTGGGTGGCGTTGTCGCATGCGGCCTGTGCCACTGGAGCCTTCGATGGATCTCCCTATGGGGCCACGAAGCGCTGACGTGGGTGGCATTAACGCATGCGGCCTGTGCCACTGGAGCCTTCGGTGGAGCTCCCTATGGGGCCACGAAGCGTTGTCGTGGGTGGCGTTGGCGCATGCGGCCTGTGCCACTGGAGCCTTCGATGGATCTCCCTATTGGGCCACGAATCGTTGTCCTGGGTGGCGTTGACGCATGCGGCCTGTGCCACTGGAGCCTTCGGTGGAGCTCCCTATGGGGCCACGAAGCGCTGTCCTGGGTGGCGTTGACGCATGCGGCCTGTGCTACTAGAGCCTTCGGTGGAGTTCCCTACGGGGCCACGAAACGCTGTCCTGGGTGGCGTTGACGCATGCGGCCTGTGCCACTAGAGCCTTCGGTGGATCTCCCTATGGGGCCACGAAGCGCTGCACTGGGTGGGTGAAACGCAGGGAGGTGACGAGGCGGACGGGAGGAGGGAGGATGGGGGAGGAGGAGGAGACGAGAGGAGTGACGCGCGGCGCGGTCTCTTCAAAACCAGGGCCCAACACCACAGGATGGTTGGGAAAAAGACATCCCACCCGTGTGTCCCAGGACGCCCTGAGACGTTTCGAGAGCGCCCCAAGAGGTTACGACGTGGATCCTCAGTGGAGGTGGTGAGAGTTGCGACGAAGCCTGCAGTGCGTCGGGCAGCTCATGCGACGCTTCAGCTGACTGGCCTACGACCGAAGCGGCCGTTTCAATTGTTGGTTCTCTCTTGGGACATTCGTGCGATCAGTATACGAACTATGGTGGCGATTGGGAGTTCGCACCTTACACCTACACGCCCGATGGGCGCTGCAATTATCCAACAAGTGCGACATATCCGACATGCAGTGCAGCGGGCGCAGACGCAAACTTCCGCCGCTTCTGCCCATGTACACCAACCGTGCAGGCACTTGCTGCTGCTGCTGCTGCTGCTGCTGCTGCTGCTGCTGCTGCTGCTTGACATTCTATTCTCCAGATCCACAATGGTAATTAGTGTTACCCTCTTGCTTTTCGCTGAGCTCGTCCTCCTCGCGCTCCCTCTTGCCTGCTTGACTTCCCATTATTTCCAGCACGTCCACCTCATTTATTGACATCCTCCTGCTCCTCCCTCTCCTCCCCCCATCCTCGGCTGCCTGCTTCTCGTGCTCTCTCCCAGCCCTTCTGTGTCCGGCCCCCGTCTTGATAACAGCACATGTTGTTGCGGCTCTCACGCTTCCTCTCCCGTGTGCCTCCTCCTTTCCCTGGGCATCGCCCGGACGCGTGCACGTTTTCTTCGGCGAGGACCATCGAGGAGACGTTGGGATCATCTTGCGAAACAAGGCACGCACGACATCGAAAAAATACACGGCGAATGGACGTCCGAGCGATGCCAAAAGCTCCTCCATCGTCCACACCCCTTCGTCGCTCCCTCCTGGCGCTCGCGGCATCTCTCCCCTCGCTCCAGCAACTGGGTGCAGCGGATGTTGCCGGACGTGCAGCTGCCGCCACTTTGTCGTGACCCCGGGGGCTCCAGCCGAGCGGTGCCCTGCTCGTGCGCCAATGCGCACGGAGACGCGCGACGAGGGCCGAGCAGGAAGGCGACTCGGCGGCCCGAGCTCGGCCACGGCGCGGTGGAGGAGGGGCATCTTGCGCGAGGGCATCGGCACGTTCTGCGCCGTCGGGGCCGAGCAGGACGGCCTGGTCTCGGCCGCTGAGGTTCGTCGACTTGCGACAGCAGCTGCACCCAGCAGACTGAGCAGCGCGTTGTCGGCACCACCGCCCACATATCAATGCCGCAGTAGCTTCAAAGACAGACGACCCGTGCTCCGCACGGCACCTCAATCATGGCACCACGGTTGTTGAGAGGCTTACGACAGGTCAGGCGTTGCCAGGGCTCGCCGCCGAACACTCTGCCATCACATCACAAGCAGGCGCGCCGCCTAGACGGAATGGCATTGCTGCAGCAGCGTGGCAACAGGCTTGGCCTGAATCACCAGGGCATCAGCCTTGGCCAGTTCTGATGTCACCGCGGCCACCGCTGCCGCTAGTGGCGTCGCTATTTCATCGGAAAATACTTCCGTCCCCGCACCTGGCTAATGCTTTCATCGGGGCAGGCATGTAGGCAAGCGACTGTGACGTCGCATCAGAGCACCTGGGGCAACATCGTGCACCCCGCAGTCGGCTATTTGGGGAAGGTCTGAACCGTTCGCGTGATAGTTGGGAGAGGGCCGCGAATCACTTCTGTCTACAGGGATACCCTGCGTCTTTGTTGTGCAATAGGATGTTTGATGATATTTGTGTACGAGTGCCCTGGATTCCGCGCTAAGGGCTTACTAGGCGCCGCTACATGCGGCAGTGCACCGTGCACACCCGCCAACCAGCACTCCCTTCAGGGGTCCCTTGGCCACAACTGCGCTAGCAGATGATACGATACGTACTCCCCAAACAGATGTCCCCCCGCGCAGACCAGCAGTTGATGCCCTCTGGAAAATAACGTTATCCACATCGGCGCCGTGGCAGCCTGCCACCGCCGTCCCTAACGGAGTAACCGCCGATTGCTCTAGGACTTCGGGGACGGAGCCAGGGTCTCCTGACCCTGTTGCACTGGTACTTGTTGTTCCATGATCGCTACTGGGGCATATGCCCACTGCGCGATAACGCCCCTCTCTGCGAGCGCTCTACCTGTCAGGGCAAGTCAAATGTCAGCGACTTTACCGCCGAGTTTTTGCTCTGAGGGGTACCGCGACAATTCTGGCCGCATGGCTGGGATGGGCCGAGGAGGCCAACATAGTCAGCCTCAGCCTCAGCCACGCCCCCGAGTCATTTTGCAAAGCCCCGGCTCACTTCTCGCCGACCCTGGTTCAAGCGTCAACGTCCCGGGGAAACGCCGCGAAAGATGATGAGCGCACGGGCACCCCGCAGCTCAACGTCGAGGACGTCGGTTCTGGCTCAGCGCCGCGCCCTGGCTGCCGCCATCTGCACCGGCAGCCAGCGCGGCGGCGATCCGCCGAGGACCGCCGGGTTACAATGTGCCGGTGGCGGGCCTACGGATCTGGCGGCCGCGGCATCTGGCGGCCCACAGTGAGATCTCCGCGGGATCCCCAGTGGTCTTTGTGGATCTGGCGGCCGCGGTATGCGGGGTGGGCGGGTTGGGAGGCCAGCTCTCAAAGTCTCAAAACCCCGGAACAAAGTGATCGCTGGGCGCCCTCGCGTGTTTCAGGACATGACTGAAACATGTATGTTGCATTGTTGTTCTGACAGGGCTGGTGGGGGGGTGTTGGCATGTTCCCTGTGCTTTCGCTGGTCAGGTCGGGGAAGGGGTGCTTACCACACAGGAGCAGAGATAACCCCTCTCCGAAGAGGCATAATGGGGATGGGGTAAACACCCTAATGCATCTCCGCCGAGGGAGCTGGTGGGACTCGAGCGAATTGAGGAGGAATAGTGTAGAGCGGAATGGGGTATGGTAGTTGTATAGCGGAATGGCGTAGGGTAGAGCGGGGGAAGGAGAGCATGGTAGAGTGGAGAAGAATGGCGTACATGTCAGATAAGTGAAGTGGTGAAGCGCTGAGCAGTAGAATGGAATGGGGCAGAACCGAGTAGAAACAGGTGGAGTAAATGGCGGTAGAGTAGGTAGAAGCGTATAGTGGCGTTGACGCGCGTAGTCTCAGCAAAGCAGCATGCCATGTTGTCTGCATGTTGTTCATTCAGGCAGTGGTACCCCGCACGCTCCTAGTTGAATCCAGCGCTGGCTGCCTTCATACCCATCGTTAGTTGTGTGGAGGCGTTGGCTGCGTAACCCGTGCCGTAACAGTGCACACCAATTGTTGGTGTACCTATTGGGTGCGTACGTGTATCCATTGGGATACGCACAGGGATTTGTTGGGATGCGTTGCACATTACGGACGTCCGAAAGCCGCCTGGAGGTTTTTTGGAATGCTATCCAGCTTCTTGCGGCACGTCTCGCCACCATGCCAGGCCAGCATTCTGGGTGGCGACTGTTCGAGGGGGCACGAGAGGCCGCCACGTGTGACGCCTCGTGTTCCCAGTCTTGGGGAAGCCATGATGATGAGAATTGTGATGATGATGATGATGATGCTGATGCTGATGATGATGATAATGATGATACAGAAGAAGCAGGTTATGATGATGATGCTGATGATGATGGTGATGGTGATGGTGATGGTGATGATGTTGATGCTGGTAATGGTGGTGACGATGACGATGGTGATGGCGATGTTTGCGGTAATGATGATGTTGATGATGGTGATGATGTTGATGATGATGATGGAACGTATGATGATGATGATGATGATGATGATGATGATGATGATGATGATGATGATGATGATGATGATGATGCTGATGGTGTCATAATGAGGATGAGGATGAGGACGAGGATGAGGATGAGGATGCGGATGCGGATGGTCATGGGGATGAGGATGAGGATGGTGATGCTGAGGTTGATGATGATGCTGATGCATATGTTCCATGCTGACAAAGAAGATGCTGGTGATGATGATGATGACGATGAGGATGAGGATGAGGATGAGGATGATGGTGGTGGTGATGGTGGTCGTGGTGATGATGGCTGTGGTGGTGGTGACGATGATGATGACGACGACGATTACGACGATGATGACGATGATGATGCTGCTGCTGCTGCTGATTATGATGATGATGGTGGTGCTGGTGATGCTGATGATGATGACGAAGAGGAGGCGGAGGAGGAGGAGGAGGAGGAGGAAGAGGAGGAGAAGGAGGAGGATAAAGAGGAAGGCAGTCACATCTGACACCTTTCGTCGTCACCGTCTGAAGATCTGTCATGGAGCTCACCTGGGCCGTCTTGGGGCTGCCTTGGGCTCCTGTGGAGCGATTTTGGGGGTTCCTTGGGGCCGTCTTGGGGCTCTCTTGGCCTGCCTTGAGGTCATGCGTGTCCATTTTGGGGCTCTCTTGGGCCGTCTTAGGTCTTAGGGGTTCTCTTGGCCGCATGGTGGGTGGATTGAGGCCGTCGTGAGGCCGTTGTGGCGCCGTCTCGGGCGGTCTAGGGCCGTCCTGGGTCTCTCGGGAGGCCCTCTTGGGCCGTCTTGGGCCCTCCTCCCTTCTCCCCCCTCCCCCCTCCCGCCTTAGATGTCCCTTGGGCCATCATGAGGTCCTCTGGGGCCGGTTTGAGACCCTCTTGGGAGCATCTTGGGTCGTTTTGGGGCCATCTTGGAGGTTTCGTGTGCCGCCCTGAGTGGTCGGACACCCGAGAGGCGACACTCTGAAGATCTTTCAAAACTTCGTCTGGCTTTACTGGCGGTTCTCTTGTGGCTCTCTTGAGCGCTCGTGGAGGCATCTTGGGGCACATTGAGGCCATATGTGGCCGCCTTGGGGCCACCGTGAGCCGTCTTGGAGGCGTTTTGGACATTTTCGGACCATTTGGGATGCCTTGATTGCCTGCCTCGGCCGCATTGGAAGCTCGAGAGGGTGGATCCATGGTTCGCTTTGACCAGGGGTCGGGGCCTCGGGGCGCGGACCCATTATCCTGTATGGCCGATCGTGCCCTGAGGAGTGGGCGATGCGTGCGACGGTCCGTGATGAGCTTGGCATCGCTCGGACGTGTGCATTTTTCCTTCGGCGAGGACCATCGAGGAGCATCCTTGATCATTTGGCGAAAAAACCACGCACGAAACAAAAAAAACACAGGGAATGGATGTCCAAGCGATGGCGAGTGAGAGGGGGGGGCACTAGAAGATTGTATGAATCCTACCAGGCAGCCCTTGGCATACTCCACTTGCCAGGGGGTACGGTGGCGGATCTTGGAACTATCTCGGGACCCCCTTGGGAGCAATTGTGGCCGTGTGACGGCTACCCTAGATTCCCCCGTCTCCCCTGGAGCCTAAACATTCGCTAGTTGGGGATCTCTTGTGGTACTCCTGTCTGGTGGATATATGGAGGTGGCAGGGGCAGCGAAACCGTCATAAGTAATAGCCCAGCACGTTATTGGAGCCATTCGTGCGCGGTGCTAGCACCACTGTGGCAAGGTCAACGACACGGAGACGTCATCGTTGCACGTGGCGCTACATCATGGCAGCGTGATGAGCCTCAAGAGCACAGGGTACGGTGCATATTTGGACGTGCGCGGCAGCGGTTGCGAGGAGAACGAGGCATGCGTATCCGGGTCCGCGTCCCTGGAGCGAAGCAATCCTGCAGAATACACTGGTGAGTGGAAAATGCTGCGAACAGGTGGACCAGGAATCATAGTGGACGGGGATCCTGTGTACCTGCAGAGCATGTACGGATCGCAGCCGCTATATTTGGACACGCGCGGGGAGGGTTGCGAGGATAATGAGCTCTGCGTGTCCGCCAGCTCGTCGAAGGAGGGCTCCGTCCCGGGTAATCATTCGACCGAATGGATCGTCAGGCGGGTCGAAGGGGCTGGAGATTTGATGACAGGAGACAGTATTCATCTGCAGAGCATGATGGGCGATGTGACAGCGTACCTCGACGTTCGTGGCACAGGATGCGAGGATAATGAGTATTGTGTGTCGGCCGCGTCTTCATCCACGCGTGACGGCCATTCCGGCACATGGCAGGTACTGTTGAAGCAGGCTGTGGTCCAAAGCGAATTGTCCGAGACGACGGACGACGCGAAAGCGACCGCCACCTGCCCCGAGAACACTTGGGTGATGAGCTGTGAGCCCATCGGAGCTCCGGGCACAACAAAGAGCCACAACCACGAGTAAGTGGATTTGTCCAGAGGGCATCTCGGGGGGGAACCCAGCGACCTCGACATGGACACTTTGGTTGTGGTTGTGGTCGATCTGGCCGTCTGGGACGCCCACACCGACCACCACCAGCACAGGCTGGTTCCGGTGTCCTGGCGATCGTGGGCTGGATCGTGAGCATTCCCCCAGGGGTGCGTCCTCGATGTGGTTGTGGTCGCCTGCTCCCCCCCCGCAGGAGCGACAGCCGGAGACCAGGGAGACGGGCTCCAGTTGTCCGAGGACGGGGCATCGTGCACCGCAGTCAACAGCGGCACTGGACAGGGCATCCGGGCCAGGGCCACCTGCACCGGCGCCCCCACCGTGAGCAGCGTCAGCGGCGAGCTGTTCCTCGACCACCAGGATCGGCCGCGAGCGAGGGGGGGAAGCGAGAAGGAGAAGGCCTGCTCACAGGGCGGAGGGGCTTCTCAGAGGCCCTCCAGCCTTCTGAGGAGGCTCCCATGTTTTCGGGAGGGCCTCAGAAGACTTCTCGGAAGGCCCGGGGACTTCCTAAGGAATCCCATCGATTTCCCAAGGAATCCTATAGATGTCCTGAGGAATCCGATTGATTTTGCCAGGAATCCTATTGATTCCCAGAGGAAGCCGGTGGATTTCCCAAGGGATCCGATGGATGTCCTGAGGATTCCTATCGATTTCCTAAGGTGTCCCATGGATTTCCGAACCTTCTGAGAATCGCCGAGCGCGTTCCACTACTCGCAAAGTGCCTACTCGCAAACGTCCGAAAAACACATGTCTGCTTTTGTGTAATTTATCGTAGATCCCCCGCAGGGGATCCAGGCCATTTGCGAGTAGTGACTTTGCGAGTAGTGGAACGCGCTCGGCTAGAGCAGGCCCGCGCCCCGTCTCATTCCACCCCCCCCGGGCTCGCCGCCGACAGGAGGTCACCGCGGCCTGCGACCACGGGGCTGCGCTGTGGTGCACCTGCCACAGCCCGTGGGCGGTCCCGGGCGCGTGCGGCGGGGACCTCGGAGAACAAAAGACGGCATGAGCACGCCCCTCCCTCCCCCTCCCTCCTCCCTCCTCCCTCCTCCCCGCTCCCTCCTCCCTCCTCCTCCTCCTCCTCCTCCTCCTCCTCCTCCTCCTCCTCCTCCTCCTCCTCCTCCTCTCCTCCTCTCCCCCTCCTCCTCCCTCCCCCCTCCTCCTCCTCATCCTCCTCCTCCAAGCTCTACGAGTCGTTTAAACCGAGCAAAATTATGCAAAATTTCCGTCGAGTTTTTTTTGCCAACTAGCCCCCGAGCGCGCCGGAATTACTCTCTAGTTTCGCCGCTTCGCTCTTAGGGAAGCCATACGAGTCACTAGCTCCACCCCGCGCCCGAATTCTTTTGAGCTCATCTCTTCGAAGAGCTCTACGAGGTATTACTCTCTAGCTTTGCCGCTTCGCTCTTAGGGAAGCTCTACGAGTCAATCCTCCTCCTCCTCCTCCTCCTCCTCCTCCTCCTCCTCCTCCTCCTCCTCCTCCCCTCCCTCCTCCTCCTCCCTCCTCCTCCTCCTCCTCCCTCCGCCTCCTCCTCCTCCACCTTCTCCTCCTCCTCCGCCTCCTCCTCCCTCCCCTCCTCCTCCTCCTCCTCCTCCTCCTCCCGCCTCCCTCCTCCGCCCCTCCTCCTCCTCGTCCTCCTCCTCGTCCTCCTCCTCCTCCTCCCTCTTCCCCCTCCTCCCCCCTCCTCTCTTCCTCCTCCTCCTCCTCCTCCTCCTCCTTCTCCTCCTCCTCCTCCTCCTCCTCCTCCTCCTCCTCCTCCCTCCTCCTCCTCCTCCTCCTCCTCCTCCTCCTCCCTCCTCCTCCTCCTCCTCCTCCTCCTCCTCCTCCTCCTCCTCCTCCTCCTCCTCCTCCTCCTCCTCCACATCTTCTTCCTCCTCCTCCGCCTCCTTTTTTTTCCCAGGTTCCCAGAGGGGTCTCAAGTCGAACTATACACCACATCATCAACCCTCACCTCACGAGACCAGCTTCTTAGCAGGTCTTCTGGTGACTGGCTGGGAATGCCCATCAGTGTAGGCCTTCTTCCATTCAGCACGCATTGCAATGTCAAGCCTCTCCACTTCTTCTTGTGAGAGGGGGGGACTGGCCTCGAGAAGATTACTACACGGTATTTTTCGGGGGTCGGCGCCAGGGGGGTACTTAGTTAAATGAACTATAGCACGCCACCTCGAGCCAAACTTGGTCTTACACACCGGGCACAGGGCGTCTTCGCCCACGTATCTTCTCGCTAAACATCGCACATTATGCTTCCTCATCTTGTGGGAAAGCAAGGCTTGAGGCGTGGCGAAGGTCGGGGGAGGGGCGACACACGCACGCACACACTCATCGCACACATGAGGACGAGCGGGGTTGGCGGCAGTGTGGCCTCCATCACCTACCTCAGGTTGACTGCTGGCAGACGAATCGGCAACAGAGTCACAATAAAATAGTTTCTGAACGAGCTGGCTCCACAATGATCCAGCTTCTCGAATAAACTTGCCCCAAATCTGGGGGCCTTCAAGCGGGACGGGGAGGAAAAACTTCGAGTTTCGAATCACCCTCTCGTGCAGTGTCAGTAAGCCGGCAGTGATTAGTTGGGAGACGCTCACCCTTCACCTGTACGTGCAGAAGGACATGCATCTCCACAGGGCCATGGATCAGCACACGCCTCAAGTACACAAGCCTGGCACGCTGTAGTATACAATCGACTGACGGCATGCTCATGCAGAGTCTGACTTCAACATCTTTGTGCTCGACTCTCTGGATTCGAGACTCTCCAAAAATATTTCCCAGAGGACGCATCATCGCGGCATCCAGAGTTCTGATATACTGGCGGCTCGGTACAACAACGTGTGCATTGAAAAAAAGCCTCGCGTGCAACAGCGAGCTCATCAGATGAATCTTTACCCAATCGTGTGTCACTGGCGAGCCAAAAAGTGCGCGAGGCGAGCGGGGAGTACGCCGCTGGAGTCGACGTCTCTTTATGTCTCGCATCCACTGCGCACGCCGTCCGAAGGGACAGCACTGATCCAAGGCGCTTATATCTGTCAACAGCCATGAGCCGCCTCGCGCTCCCTGGCACAGGGAACGACATCCCCCCCTTCAAACAGGTGGGATTCTAAGATGTGCTGACACTTTTGACCACGAAACTGGACCAGGGCTTCTGTTTTGCCTCGGGGCCAATTGGTTTCGAGATTGAGTGGGGAGAAGGTTTCAACCAGAACGCTCAAAAGCCTCGGAATACTCTCATTCAACCTCTGGGCAGTGCTGCACACAAGCATGATACACTCATCATCAACAAAGGCATAGTCAGTAATGCTGCAAACGCGGTCGTACACCTCGAGGCGGTCCGACCAAAACTCCTGGATAGGGGCCTCCAAGTTCAAGGCTAGGCCTTCTTCCCTCAGACGGGATTGCATAGCATGCCGAGCGATAGAGTAGACAGCATTAAATATCATGGCTCCTACCTTACACCCCTGGCGCCCCCCCAACCGTGGACAAACAACACTCTCGAGCGAACCGATGCTAAACCAGGAGCTCGAGTGCAGAGAACACAATAGTTCAGTCACGCTGGGATCTACTTGCCACTGCTCAAGGAGGGGGCCTTTTTCTTCGATCTGCTTCAGAATCTGCTGTGCAACTGTACTGCTCAGACCTAGCGATTCGAGATATGCAAGGCGGGCGGCGTGCTCAGGTGCTATATGTGCAGGGAATCCAAACACCAACTATCTCACGACTCTGTCGAACGCTTTGACTAAGTCGACGAACATAATACATACTGACCACCCTCTCTTCTCCGCGTATGCTATCATGCTCTGTACTATGTGCGTGGCGTAGTCGGTCCCACGTCTAGGAACGGCGCCAAACTGCGTCGCCGGCATCTTCTCATTATATACAGGATCGATGCTTCTTTTCATGCGACCTACGAACGATTTGCCCGAGTGGTCTGCCAATAAAATACAGCGTTAATCATTACGTTCCTGATTGTCACCTTTCCCTTTGAATAAGGATGCAATTTTTCCGCCCGTCCATTGTCTTGGCCAACTCATGGTATTCACAATAGTGTTCTCGATCTCATTCACGTGGAGCGCCAAGGGCCACTCGCCAGCCTGCAGGAGTTCCGCGGGGACCCCGTCGCACCCGACGCCCTTATTCTTCGCGAGCCTCTGGATTGCCTCGTAGGTGGCCTCAGGGGACATGTTGAGGGCCAGGGAAGCTGGGGGCCTGCCAGGACACGGGATAACTATCTCGCTCAAGTTCTTGACCTCAGCCTGAAAAGCTCTACTGTAGCGATGTAACCAAGCTAGATCACGATCATCCGCGGAGGCAGACAGGACACCCGAGTCTAACTTAACATCAGTGTTTCCGCGAACTCCTCCTCTAGACAACATGCGAACGATCTTAAAGGTACCAGCAAATTTCCCATTGAGGGCTTGCCTGTCCAGCTCAGATGCGTGCTCTTCTAACATGATGTTCCGATCTATGTCGCGCATGGGCTTGATCAGGCACTTCAGTATACGTTGACTGTGTACAGCGCACGCAACACACCTCTTCATGATACGCATGTTCATGTGTAACTGCTCGTATTCGGCAACAGCTTTCCCCCCGCGTCTACATGATGCTGTACATGGGTATGGAGCGCGCTTCTGAGCTAGCAGAACTTGAAATACAAACTGCAATCGAAGACGGCGCTGCTGCTGAAGAAGGTCGTGCACGTGCCGTCGGAGTGGGGCGTTCCACTTCAGCACTGTCCACGTCCGATCTGAGATCCACGGCTTAGTGGGAGTATCTCTCTTACTGCCGAAGGCCTCATAGGCCGCTTGCCGAACATACTCGTTGAAATGCTCAAGCTTGTCAGTCTGATCCCCGCCAGACATCTGATACTCCCACATCTTCTGCTGAAACGCTTCGCGACAGCTCGGATCGCCCAACTGCCGACGGTCAAAGCGGGATGGGAAGATGTGAGACGCCTCCTCCGCAACGACAGCGTTCACCTCCTGATTAGGTACTGCACGCACGACGCACTCGGCAACCACGACTCTGTGATCCACACTTTGATCAAGGGTCAAATCTAAATCATCTGAAACCCAAACACTCCGTTCGGGTACATACTCGCTCTTCAGAATACACACGTAGTCCAGTCGAGACGGCTTGCCTCTGGGTGGTCTCCACGTCCACTCGCTTGCCTGAAAGGTATTGACAGCAACCATGCGTTGCGCCTCCAGCGCCGCTCGCATGAGAGCTCCATTGTGGTTCTCTCGGGTAGCGCCTTCACGTCCAAAGGCACTCGACTGCACTGAGCCAACCCGAGCATTCGCGTCAATGGCGAGGACCACAAAAAAAGAAGGATATCTCTGTCTCCACTTGGTGAATCGTACCACTCAGCAGAGACCAAAAACTCTGACGATGCTCAGGAGAATCATGAGAATGAGGTGCGTGCGCTGCGACCGCGAGGAGAGGAACTCGTTCCCTGCCCTCATCCGCTGCGATCGTGCCCGCTGCTATCACAATCCGTGAATGCGGGGCTGCCCAGGCCTCCAGCCGAAACTCAACGTCGTAGCTCACCCACAACTGAGTCCCGTAGCAGCCTTTTGCGCCTGCCGCAGCACAGTACATAGTGTAAAAGGTACCTGCTCTAACTTGCTCCGACCGACTTCGCCCCTCTTGAATACCGATCAATTGAATTCCTGCATGTGAAAATTGGGCCTCAAGCAAGGCCACCTTCGACATCAAGGTAGCTCCCACCACCTTGGAATAACTAGCTAGTTCCTGCTTGGGGTATAGCGTGCGCACATTACCCGTGGCGCACCGCACTCTGGTGTAGGCCGAGTCCTCTATGCCGTCGAGGTTGGAGGGCCTGCATCTTGAAAAACTGGCGCAGCATCGGTGGCCGCTGAGGTGCCTGGCGCCATCGGGTTCTGCTTTCCTCTCATGCGGCGCTTCACTACTTGGTCGTCTGGCTCCATGTCCTCGTCGACCGCATTCTTCTGCACCGGCGTGAGCTGGGCGTTGGCCTCCGTCGCGATCCTCTGCAGGCCCGCGAGGAGGCGCATGATCTCTGTCTCCGCCTCCCTCAGCGTGGTCTGGGGGATCACCGTGGAGGACTTCATGTCGGCGATGACCCTGGACAAGCTCTGCGTCGAGGCCTCGAGGAGTTCGGGGCATTGACCTGCAGCGCCTTGGCTTCGAGCTCCTGCAGCTCGGTCTTGCGCTGCTCCGACTCCGCGGCAGCCTGGCTCACCTCGTCCTGCGCCTTGGCCAGCGCCTTCTGACTGTCGGCGAGACGCTTGTCGGCCCGCTCCACTGCGGACCTGCACGAGACGAGCTGGCTGCTCAACGGCTTCGAGAGGGTGACATTTCTCTTGGCCTCTTGGATCTGCTTCGAGAGGATCTCTCGCGTGGGCTGAAACTCGTCGCCAGGCGGCAGTGCGGCCAGCGCGTTCTCGAGGCTCTTGATCTTGACATTGCGGTCGATCTGCAGGGTAGCAGCCCCAGTATATGAAGTGGTCGGGCCAACAGCAGAGTCCAAGGCCGTGGTGCGCTGAGCCCACGGCGGCGGTGTCTCTACCTTGTCGGACTGCACAACTTGGGACCAACTCTTCTTGAGACCACATCCTTTGCACTTCTTGGCTGCCACCTGGTTCCATGCGTGGCAACCACTCGTACGACATTGCCACCACTGCTCTTCCTGCCACCACTGCTTCTTGGCATAGGCGGGCTGGGCGGGCGACTCCTGCCACCACGCGCACGCCATCTGATGAGATGCTGGTGAGCAGGAGACTGACGGGCAGTGCGAGTCGTAGGCTTACGTTCTGGCTCAATGACCCCCAGGTCATCTTGAGCCAAAATGGATACGGGCCTCCTCCTCCTCCTCCTCCTCCTCCGCCTCCTCCTCCTCGTCCTCCGCCCTCCTCCTCCTCCTCCTCCGCCTCCTTCTCCTCCTCGTCCTCCGCCCTCCTCCTCCTCCTCGTCCTCCTCCTCCTCCTCGTCCTTGCTCTCCTCCCTGGTCCTCCTCGTCCTCTGAGATATCATACTCTGGGTTTCTTGATCAGCGTGGGCGGGTACCCCCCCGATGGGGGTCAACCTCGCCTCGTCGTCGCGCCGCGACGGGGGGTCGGAGCGCCTTCGGCGCGCGGTGGCCGCCCGCGACGGGGGTCGATGTGGGGCTGTCGGCGGGAGTAACGCCCCCCCGACGTTTAAGAAACTCGGAGTAGACTTTTGGAGCTCCGCGCGGATTTGTCGGATCGGTTCTGGGGCCCCCCTGGCGCGCTTCGCGCGCCAGGGAGCAGGGAGGGGGGCCCCAGGGGCGATCCAGAAGATCTGCGCGAAGTTCCGAAAGGTTTTGCTTACAGTGGGGGCGCGCACCAAGAAACCGGATGCTTTTCATCAGGGTTTTTCTTGGGTTTCTTCGCTCCACGCGCTTCGCGATGGCTCTCCGTGGGCGCCAAGAAACTCTCGCGCATCTTGCGGCGGTTTCTCATGGCCATGCCCCACTGTGCGCCTCTTCGACTACACGTAAGAGTGAGCTTTCGCTGGAGTGACCTGCGGTGCGGGACCATTGGGTTCTCCCGACCGCCGATAACGCGATGCGACAGTGGCGTCTTGCGCGCTTGTGTTTGGCCCCCCCGCGGCCCCCAAAGAGCCGCGCACCAAAGGTCACATCTTGCCCAGGGTCGCTCTTGCGTGTAGCCGACGCTTCTCTCTAAAGAGATTCGCCAGACCGCCATTCTGACGGCTATTAGCGCTGAGCTGCCGTTATGACGGTTCAGCCTTCGATTTTGCGGTCGACAGCCAGAATAGCGATTCCACCGCCAGAACGGCGGTTCGATCGTCATTCTGGCGTCCGCCGCGAGAACGAGCGTTGATCTGGCGGTCCGAGAAAAGCATATCCCCTGGGTTCCTCTAGGAGAGCAGCTTCGCCCCCGCGGGCGGCGTGTGCTCCAAGGAGGTCGGCTCCTCCGGCGGCAGGCGCCGCGGCACGGGCTTCGGCGCGGGCGCCAAGCTCTACGCGCTGTGCCTGCCACCGCCCGCGCCCGCCCCGGCGGCCGGGGTCCTGCCCGCAGGGGGGCGTCGCGTAATCGGGGGGCGATCAATGGGCGCCAGACTGGACGGGTATGGCGAGTTTTTCGGCCCTCCTCCCTGCTCGATGGTCCTGGTCCCTTTTTCTTCCTCCTGTTCCTCCTCCTCCCCGTCCTCCTCGCCCTCCTCCTCCTCGTCCTTCTCCTCCTCCTCCTCCTCCTCCTCCTCCTCCTCCTCCTCCTCCTCCTACTCCTCCTCCTCTCTCTCTGATCCTCATCACCCTCCTGGCCGCTTTGGAGATCAACGTTTTCTTTTTTCACGAACAGGCAATAAGAACTCCTTAGTAGGGGCCATTTTGAAGGAGGATTCCTTTCATACGGATTCCTGAGGAAGGAATGTTGTTTGAAAGAAGGTTCCAGCCAGCAAGGTTTCATTAGAGAGGACTTGTTGCGTAATGATACATTCAGTGGAGAACTATTGCGTAAGACTTCTTCCAGTTAGGAGTCATTCAGTAATGATTTCCTGGCCAACGATTTCTCTGTATGATTCCTTCAGTGATGGTGCGTCCATGAAGACTACGTCAGCAAGTATTCATTGGTAGCGAGTCCTCATTCTGACTCGTTATGACGGATATTGGTTGTACGTGTTTTTTTTCAGATTGAAGACACATTCAGGATTCCAGGGGTCTAGTCGAGCAGACATCCAGTTTGTAAGGAATCCTGTAGTAAGGGTTTCTGAGTCAGGATTCATCGGTAAGGACTTCTAGGTACGGATTGTTTTTTGGACGTATCCCTGTAGCCAAAAAATAGCAATGCTTCATGTGGTACGGACTAAGTGCGCAACGATTCGGTAAGTAAAGATCTCTCCTCGGTCAGGATTCCTCGGGAAGGATTCATTGTCAAGAGGACTTCGAGATTCCTTCAAGACTCGAGGTGCCAATTTTGTGGAGAATCCCTTCAGGATTCCTTGAATACGGAATCCGTGTTCTGAGGGCTTAGTGGAGAATTCGTTCATAAGGACCCCTCGCAAGGATTCCTTTGGCAAAGATTCCTGTTGCAAGGGCATGGGGAAGTCTTCCTCCTGCTCCTCCTCCTCTCCCTCTGTGCCGTCACTTTTCCCTGTGTCTCTCTCTCTCTCTCTCTATCTCCTTCTTTGTGTACAAATGCATACATTCTTACATGTGTTTGTTTCTCTCTCTCTCTCTCTCTCTTTCTCTCTCTCTCTCTTTCCATGTCTCGCTCTCTCTCTCTCTCTCTCTTTCTATCGCTCCGTCTCTCTCTCTCTCTCTCTCTCTCTCCGTCGCCCGTTCGTTCTCTCTCACTCTCTCTCTCTCGAGCGTTATCTTTCGCTTTATCTTTGTTCGTTTTTTTGTGTTTCTCTCTCTCTCTCTCTCTATCTGTCTCCCTCTCTAGCTAGAGAGATATCTGTATATATTTATATATATATATATATATGTATATAGACCTACTGTTGTCCTGTGATACTGGTTGTATTGTGCTTCTTCACGGTTGTAGCCGCAGCTTGCAAAGGGAATATTGTTGCACCAAGGGTCTTTCAGTAAGGATCCTTTGCCAAGGACATTCTAGTGCTAAGGAAACCCGGTTACAACCACTGCAAATGGAATCGTAGTGCACCGCGAGAGTTTTATTGCAGAAATGGGCCAATTGAAAAAGGATCGTGTTGCGCTCTCTCAGTGCAAAGTGAGTCACATCGTGAGTCACATCACTATCAGGACTTGTAGCAAGGATTATCTTGACGAAGGGCCCTTTCAATAGGGCTCCTTCAGAGGCGAGTCCGTACTAAGGATTCCTCTTGGGAGCGATCCCTCGAGTACGAAATCCCCAGTGAGGATTCCTTACTTACGGAACTTGTTACAAGGGTTCATTGGCAAGGATTCCTTCGTAAGGACCGCTCAGGACTCATTCGAAAGTGTTCCTTCCGCAAGGGATCTGTTCATCCCCTGGCAAGTGATTCTTGTAGTGCTCCTTCAGTGAAGATTCCAAGGACTCATGTGCAATAATGTCTTTGGAAGGATTATTCTAGTAGGGTTCCTTGCTACAGGAATCCCCACGCAAGGAGTCCTTACTATGCGTTCCGTACTGAAGGACTCCTTCCAAAAGAGAATCATTAGTCAAGCAGGAATGTCTATGGTTTGTCTCCTTCGTAACATTGGCAGTCA